AAACTCAGTAATATGGTTATCTATCTTATACACTTAAATATACATGCAGTTATATCCTTTATAGCACTTTCTTTTCCTTTCTTTTGTACAATGACAGTTACACATTTTGGGTTTTATTACTCCCACAGTTCTTATTACTTTTTTTGAAGAGAGTAAAACCAAATGTGATATAACAGAACAGAGTCAGTCAAATCAAAAGGATGGATATAATACATAATGTAAAAACAAAATACAAGGTGATCAATTAGACTCCCTTTAAATCTCTCGCCCAAAGTGTAGCTGTATAACCTTCTAACACATCGATTGGTTCACACCATGTCTGTGTTTAAAATAGTGACAGGTTTCTCTCTTAGGAAATGTCCAGAAATACCCAAGTAATTGAACAGGCCCCTACCTAGCCTGGCAACAAGACAGTCCTCTGTCTGGTACAGACCTCTTACTCAGCATGATTACTAATAGTGTGATGAGTACCACTGTTTGAATGCTGTGGGACCTGGTCACCTCAGGGTCCTCTCCTGTTGTCTCAGGCTGGTCCTGTCTGGGCACAGACCTGCCTCCTATGTGTGCACCCTACCTCAGTGAGCTCCTACCTTAGGGTAGCTGTTCTTGGCCCTGCACAATCGTCCTCATTTTCTGCATGCTCACCACCTGGGTCACATTTATCATACTTTGAATTCAGTACTTATGTGTATAATGATCTGATAATGCTCATATGCCCATCAGATGAAGGCTCATGAAGGCAGGAACCCAGCAGGATATAGCCCCATTCTCGATACATAGCAGGGGTGTGTGTGGGTCTCACCAGTGAATTGCAACATCAAGGAAATGAAGGTCACAGCAGATTGGAAGAATATGTTAGGGCTCAAGGAGAATCCAAAGCGAAAATACTTTCGAAACTGACTAAGGAATGAGGAGTAATGTAGTGGCAAGTGACAATGGTCAGAAGTATGAGGTCTTAACTACATGTATTCAAATGTGTAGTCACTATCTCTGACATGAAGATGATTTTGGAAATTCTGGGATTTGAGATGTGGAAGATGAACACGGAGGAACCAGCATGGCTCACCTGGATCAGCCAAATTAGAGCAAGGAAGAAATGATGGGAGTAGATGGGCCATGGCAGAGAGAGATCCCACACTCAGGCCCAAGACAGCTATTAAACCAAGCACAGATGCTGGATGGATGTAAAGTGCTAGCCCCAAAAGTGAAGGCTGCAAAAGTGTGTGTGCTAGTTGGACAGACCCTGCATGCTAAGTGCCATGTAAATGCCTATGCAGGCATGTAAATCTTTATGGAGTGACACCAAAGCAAAATGAGAGTTCAGAGAGCTATTAAACTGCTACAACGCAATGAAAGATAATTCTGTTCTCTTGCAACTGACACTGTCTAATGCTCCTAATGCTCTAAAGTGCTCACTCTCAATGGGATGGGTCAATCTCAGGTGTGCAGTTCCATGTGAACAATTAAAGACCAAACCAAAGAAACTCAGAGCATGTTTGGAAGAAATAATTTAATCTGTTAATTTAGACATCCATCTGACAAATACATATGGCCTTTCTCTATATGGTAGGAACTGGGGCAGACACTAGAAACAGATTAAGGACAGTTTTTCTCTCTTAGAAAGAACAGAGTTACCAAATACAGTTACTCATCTACTCTAGGTATCCTGAGAAATGTGTTTTCAGTGGCTATATACATCATAGAGCATGTATACACAAACTAAGACAGGTAAGACATCACCAAGAGACAGATCACTGTTAGATATGTGGTCTGTCAACCAAATACTGTGTTATAGAGCATGACCGTAGTTGTAACAGAGGTACTAGGCTTGGAGTGTATGCCTGTGTGTGTATAAGAGATGGACAGACACAGAGAGAGACAGAGAGAGAGACAGAGAGAGAGAGAGCGAGAGAGAGAGAGAGACAGAGAGAGAGAGAGAGAGACAGAGAGAGACAGAGAGAGACAGAGAAGAGAGAGACCAACTGACTGAATAATATGGAAGCCAGGGCATATCTTGTCAGATATGGCAAGAAATAGTGTCCTTAATACAGGAGGTGTAAGAAGAAATCAGCTGAATGGCAGTCTGGCTTCCTGCAGCATGGGGGAGGGTGTGTGCTGGACAGCAGGAAGACTTGTATGTTTTCCTCAGCTGTGGAATGGAGGGCGGGAGCCAGGATGGAAAAAAGTAGAATGGAGGCACATGCACAAGGTGGGATGGCTAGTTCTTGGTGACCACATGCCCTGGTAGACAGATGGTACTGCTTGCTAAAAGCAGGGATGCAGGGAGAGACAGTTTCTATGAGACACCATCAATAATCCCAGCAGCAGAGTATTGGGAGCAGCTGAACATGCAAACTGGCTCCTGGGAATGAGAACCAGAGCACAGAGAAAGCCGTCAGTCTGCAAGGTAACCCTTTAGAATGCTGATTCTGTGGACTTAGGAAGTGGAGACTTTGGGTCAATGATTGGTTCAGTCATTCAGCACATCACACTTGCCATGCGCTGGGCGTAGAGCAATAAGGCAAAGCACTGTCTTTGAGGAGTGTGTTCTGCAGCAGAATCGATAGACAAGAAAGAAGATTATGCAAGCGTAAATGAAATCTCAGGAAACCATGGTGTGTGGGGCAGGTTCAGTCAGGTTTCTGTGATTTTAGTCTCTGTGGGACACATCTCCACCTCTTCTGGGGGTGGCTGCCTGCTCCCTGCTCCCTGAGCTCTTGGAGCTGAGCCATGTGGTACATAACTGGAATATCTTCTGGCTTCCTCCAGCTTCCAGAGATGGTGTGAGTTGCTATCTCTTGCAACTAGGAGCCCTTAACACACACAAGAGTACTTCTGGATTTCTCAGGATTAAAGGCGGAAGCACAGACAGTGTAGGCACCCCTGTGCCCAGCTGTGTGGTTGTCAGTAAATACAGAGATATTGACTAGAGCCTTTCTGTAAGCCTCTACCACAAGATTATTTCATCTAAGCAATAATCAGACTTTAAAACACAGGTAGAGTGCTTAGAGCACCCTTCCTGCTTTTTAAGTTACTTGTTATATCTGCCAGATCACAGCATTTGTAAGAAATACCTGGGAGGTAACACATAGATGTCATTTATGTGGAATACAGATGTGTTTTCATTGACTATTATTATAGAAAACATTAAATCTTATTTACTTGCACGATCTTAAATTTAAATCAATTTTTAATTCTCCAGCCCAGAATGACTCATCAAGACAAGATAAATGCTATGGTAAAACGTTAAGTAAAAAAAGCAAAATATAAACATATACCCATGTTATGATCAAAATTCTGTAAAATTTGTCCATGTATGAACAAGGCTTGCTCAAATAAGAACATTCATAAGGAAAACTGTCTCTTTGCATTCTATAGAAAATTAGGACAGAAAAATAACTACAGAAAAGGAAACCTAACAGCTTATCAAACGGTTACCCAGTTAAGAAAGTTCATGCAGGAAAAACCCTGGTATGAACTTGACTTTTTGAAAAGAAAGTACTTGTTGGCAGGAAGTGCTAGAAACAGATGAGGTAGAACCTTCCCAAAAGAATGAGCAAACATAAAAGAACAAACTCTCTCAAAATAGAGTTGTACTTATCAAAATCCAGGTTATACTTTCCCTGTAAACTTTCATGCCTTGAATCAGTATAGATATGACATAGCTCAGAAACAAAATTCTCAGATACTGTCTCACATGTAAGAAAGAGTGGTGTCTACCAAGCTTCTGACAGCTGAGAAACACTATCCTGTGTATCAAGTTTACATCAAAGGAGCCTCTCTGTGAGCCCTGGCCAGTCTTCAGGAAACCACTAGCCAGAAACAAACTCTTGGGAAAAAAAAAAAAATCCTAAAGCTAGAATTCAGAACCAAGAGCTGGAAAAGCTCTTAAGACAACCATTCTGCACTTATTTGGGCCATTCCTCTACTCTGTTCCATTTTATAGATGAGGAAACAGATCCAAAAGAAGCAGGAAGATGATTAAAGACTTCATTCAAGCACATGGCCAAAGACATTGAATCTCTCCACTGTGTGAAGTATTTTCTCTTGGCCCTGGCTTGGTGCAGCATCTATGAATCTCAGTTCCAAGAAGGCTCAGCAAAGCCCATTATGGATTTAAATTAGAGAATAGAGAGGAGACCTGTTCCTGTTTGCTAAGGTAGTAGTATCAGTGATGTTCAGAGATTTATTGACATGGGTAAACATGCAATTTCAACTGGTGGGGATGGGAGGGTGATAGTAGTTTGGTTTCATTGCCAACAAAGGAAGACATCTACATACCTTCTTAATTTTCTGATCAGAGTTTCTCCAGAACTGAGGTGGGCTCAGGTGACCATGTCTGTCACCTTTTATGAATTCTACATCATTTGGGAGCAGAAGAATGACAAACAGGATCAGTGGGCTCAGGTATTCTAAAATCTGTTCCACTTTTCTAAAGTAAGGACTTGGAAGTTATGTCTCCTGGGTTGCTTTATTTCCATTTCTTAAGTTTTAACTTTTTTGTTCCTTTAAAAGAGAAAACAGCCCTCATGCTTAGCTATAGCTAAAACAACTATCAGTTTTATCCCTTAACTGAAAGTCTTGTCTCGAAGTCACTAATCCTGGATAAGCCAAGATGGGAGCGAGGCAGTCCAGGTGTCCTACTAGTGACATGCCTAAAACCTTGCCGGTGACATCAACAGCCTAAGAGTGCTTTGCACAGTGATATCTATACATCTACTCTGCTGTGTGTAGTACTTTGCAATGTACCTTGGGAGATTGTTTCTGTATTTACAAAGCACCAATTAGAGATCTTGTGATTGCTCTTAATAGATACAATGAATTCCAAACCTAAAAGTCTAGATTTTGGAGAATCTGTGTTCCCAGGATTTTCTGGTTTCTTCAAGGAAGCTGTTCTGAGCGCCCATGTCCCTAAGGAAAGCTGAGAAGAACAAGCTCAAGCCCCAGTATCTCAGCAGACATGATGCCCTGCAGGTGGGCTTACAAGGGCCCCTGCTTACCTGGAACATCAATCAATCTCTTGTAGACATTCAAGAAAGCTGCTTCAGCTTCTTTGCTTCTTTTACTGAGTGCATCAATCTGAAAAGAAGAGAAAAAGAAAAACAGCTCAAAATTTGTGGAGAGGTAATCTAAAAAATCATTATATATGGTATCTAGTGAGTTCCCACAGCAAATACAAGTATGATCTTCCATGTAGATACTTGACAACTGGGCTGCCAACCTCTTAGAAGTGTCTGCCAATCCACTACAGGGACAGGAAGTGGGAGCCTGGGTACTAGTAAGGAACTGTTAGTGAGGCAATGGTAGTACTTACAGGTTGTGAAAGGATCACTGTTTGGTCTTTTCACAGTGAACCCTTCCTGGTCTCTATTTTTTTGGTCCAAGTGCCGAATCAGAGCCAACCAGGTGCCAGGTAGAGCTGCGGTGTGGCAGGGAGACACAGTACCTATCCAGGAGCTCTGGTTTGGTGGGGAAAATGGCTATTAAATCTTATCTGGGAGTATCTTAGGTAGGTTGTACCACAGAAGCATGGAAGAAGAGATATGAAGGGAGGCTGGGGACCTCTGAACAGAGTGAGTCCCTAAGAGCAGTTCACTAGGATGTCAAGTAAGACGCTGCTTATGAAAGACAAAGCCTAGAGCAAAGTTCTTAAGTCTGGGAGTTTGGTGAGCCTCTTTAAGAATTCTGTAAATGCCAAGGACCCCACTCCTAGGTCTATCTATCTCTCCTTATATTCTATTTTAAGACCCTCACATATCCACTTATGTACCATATGTGAACCTCATGTTAATAACCCAGATGGGGCTACAACATACCATCAAATATAGGGGATCAGTAAGAGTCTGATGGAAGGAACATAGATACACAAGCAAGAGTTATGGAGTCAAGACAGGATAGGTGAGATGGGTCAGATCATACAAGGCCATCAGTGTACATGAAGAAAATCAATCATCTGGGAATTGGGCACATGAATGGTGCCCAGAAGCACATGGCTCAGATGGCGTTGGCCTTGTCTAGGTGGGCACTGTGAAAGGAAGGGGCTATTCAGAGAATCTTGGAATGCTTGAGCCAATGTGTGGCACAGATAAGTTGAGAACTTGCCTGGTTTTCCATCCTGCACAAAAAGTGAGATGTGTGATGGTGGCCAGGGCCTGTTTGTCCCATAAACTGGGCCAGCTCGTTTCCCCCTATATAGATGTTCCCTCCTCAAGGAAAAGTAAATCCCCAAAGCAAACTGGACACATGTCCACAGAGTCTCCAGTTTTGGGTTCCTTCATTCCAGGATTTAGCTTACATCACACAACACCTAAGACAACAGATCACTTTTTCCATCTGCAGTGTGCAAGATTTTACATGCACCTGGTTCATACTGGCTCAGGAAAAGGACACTAAATTATATATTTCTTCAGCCCCCTTGTAGAATTATGCTCTCAGTCTCCAATGTTATTAAAGAGGCAAAGGATGTGGCTTAATTATAGGGCTTCTCACCTGAGCCACCCCACAATTTATTAAGGGCTGAGAAGCCATATGACCAAGTAGAGGAATCACCTAGGAGAGGAAGTCATCAGGGAGGAGCTGCGGAAGGCCGATTTTTAATGAATTGGGTTCTAAAACTCTAGTCTGAAGTCAGCTGTTTAGAATTTAGATACCGCCCCCCCCAATAGAAAAAGACTGTCATTTAAGAGGGAGGAGAGTGTGTTTAGAATAACCTGCAAGGCTATTAACACAAGACAGTTCTGTCTTTTATTTTAAAAACACCTCCTTTCCCCTCCGCCATCATTAACATCCATGTTCACTGCATAATTAGAAAAGTATCAAACGTTTAGAAAAGAAAATTAAATTTGTAATTCTGCCATTCATGAGGGCAAGTAATACTGTCTGGTCTGTATTTCTCTTCAATTTTTTTTCTAATTAAAAAATATAGTTGAAAGCACATAGGAAAATTAAGAGATAAAATATTTAGGGTTAGGTGGGAAATGAGGGGATGGTTGGAGGAGGCTAAGGGGTATATGGGATTCTTTTTTGGATGATGAATATGTCTTGTATTGGTTGTGGTGAAGGTTGCACCGCATAGTGAACATACAGAAATCCAAAAACTGTAGACTTCAAGTGGGTGAATTTCATGGTATGTGAATTCTCTCTCAATAGAGCTATTTAAAACATGTGCACATATATTTGAAGTCAAACTATACAGAAAACTTTACCTTGTGGTTTCTTTCACTAAGATAGGTATCTTTTTCAATAGCTATCACAAATTTTGAGAAATGTCTTATTAACATTATTTTAACTGTATTTAACCACCATAAACATAGAGGGCTGGGGTAACAGGACTTGGGAGTTGCCTCTTAGATGTCTAGAATATTTCTAAGTGCAACTGGCTACTGTCAAGCTGCCAGGCACCACCTAAAGGCTTTCTGATTTGCTCAGGACTGACCTATGAAGGGTCTTTACACTTCTCAGGTGGCCTTCTGAGGGCACAAAGGTGGCTGCCTCTCTGGTGGGCCTGGAGGCTCCCCACACTGTCCTCACTCCTGTCTGGGTTGCTCATAGGCACATGGGGATGGTGGCTGATCATTTACATATTCACTGGCCAAGGGGACATTATGAGTTGAAATGTGTCTTGCAAAAGATACTGCAGTCTTAACCTTCATCAGCTGTGAACATGACCTTTTTAAAAGATAAGGTCTTGGGGGTGATCAAATTAGCATGAGGTCATTACTAGGGGCCTTAATCCATCATGACCATACAAAAAGGGGAAATTAGGACAGAGAGAGAAAGACATTTACATAGGGAGAATGTCATGGCAAAAAGGAAAGTAGAGATCAGGTGATACATCTATATGCCAAGGAACCTGCACCAGCACCACCAGACGCTAAGAAAGGGCCCTAGGACAGATTCTCCCTCACAAGCCACAGAAGTACAGGATCTGGTGCTGCTTACATCTTAACTTGGCTTTCCAGTTGCCAGGATTTGAGACAATCATTTCTGGTCTTCAAACCATCTAGGTTGTGGTATTTTGTTCTGATGGCCCCAGGGAAACCAATTGAGGGACCATGATCCTGAACCCTCTTTCCTTCCCCCTTTGAAACAAATGCAAGGAAGTTCAGAATCAATCCAGAGAGTATAAAAGATAAGACACTGAGTTTAATTAACTTGTGAAGCAATTGCACTGTGAAGTGTCTTTCTTCTCTCTCTTTTTTTTTTTTTTTTGGAGACAGTGTCTACTATGTAGTACAGGCTGTCCTTGAGTCTGCAGGGATCCTCTGATCTCAGATTCCTAAGTGCAGGGATTACAGAGTTTGCTACGCCCAACAAAGTTTCTTAAGAGATGCTGATTATTCATTCTATGTGTGGCCAAGTTTTCACCTTTCCACCTCTTTATAAGATTTTCAAAAAGATCTGGTAGAATCTGACTTCTGGAAATTTTGACATGTGGCTCCTCCCCATAGCTACAGGACAGTCCTGGGAGTGCCTTCTGATCTTTTTCCCAGCTCATCTTTCCTGTGGTAGCTTTTCTCTTTCTGGTGACATATCATGATTCCCTGTTATAGTCTGTGACTCCCTATTTTTTTAGCTTCTGAATACTTGGAGTAGCATTTGGGGCCATCTCAGATAAGTGCAAGGTCCATTTCCCTAGACCTAGCACCGGGTTCCCTCAAGGCTAGCAGGGTCCCAGGATGGGAGGGAATACCCAGACATAGGAGCTACCTAGCTGGCCCTCAATCTCAGTTCCATGAGGTGACAGAACCTTCTTGCCAGGGCTGGGTGAGCAGATGAGCTAACACAAGGGAGTGCTCAACACCTAGCACAAGGAGTTTCCACCTGACATTGACTTTGCCCTCTGGGAGAGCTTTCCTCAAGTTGTCGATGTCCACCACCCAGCAAGAGGACATGACTCTCCTGTGTGTGCCCCTCAGCATTCTCAGAGGCACGTGTGAGAGACTTCTCACCATGCCTGACTCCACAGTATTGGGCTCATCTGTTGTGTTCCAAGGGTGGCCAGGGTGGAAGTTCCTCACAGGATAAGGTTGGTGGAGAAGGGTTAAAACAAGGTCTGAAGACAGAATGTGGAATGAGTATACACACAGTGGCTCCTTCACAAGTGAACCTAGGGTAGAGATTTTTCCTCTAGTCCCTGGGAGAAGTGCCAAGGACAGAGATGCTGTCATGGTGGCCACTCGGGCATGCCAAGGGGAAAACCCATTCTGTACTAAGAGACTGGCTTCCTTTTCAGGCTTGCCTCCTGACACGCCCCCCACTCAGGCCACACCCAGTCACTCCCTGTTCTCTGAATGCTGGAGCAATTTCCACTCAGTCTGGAAGGCGCCTCCTTGGAATGTTCCCTGATCCTGGGGCTCAGCAGAGATCCACCTCCTAGCTGCAGCCACTCCCCTCCACCCTGGGGGATTGTCCCCAGAGTGCCTGGACTTCAGACAGGGGCCCTCCCCTCAGGAGATCCAAAATTCCTTGAAAGTCTAAAGCATACTGGAGGATCCACTGCCTTCCTTCCCAGGCGCTTGTACACAATAGATACTAACATACCCTAAATGTGTGAACAAAACCCCACCTCTGTTGGTCAACTTTTATCTGCAAAAGTGAGCCAAGAGTCAAGGAGTCCAGTATCAAATCTTTATGCAAATGTGTAATATGCAAAGTGCTCTCTATGTCATAAGCATTTGTTTTGTGTGCTGTGACATGATGACAGCCACATGGCTGGCCAAAACCATCAGGAACAGTCTTTCCCACCACACACCCCCGTGCTCTTACAGCATCTTCCTGCAGTGAGTTGCTCACTTGGTTTCTCGCCACTGAGATGCCCAGCGTATTCTACTGCACAGTCATCAAATTTGACATCTCTTTCATAATGCTGAGTTTGGTATTTTATGCAATAAAAATTACACTTAAAGACAAATGTATATATGAAGGTATTTTATTCAAAATCTCAATCTTTGCTTATAGTACTATAAATGGTTGGAGTCCAGGGTTGCAGAGCAAGTTCACATAACTCTGTGAAAGAACCCTGAGGTTTAGAAGGACAGAGAAGGTGCTATTGCTTCCAGGCACTGTCCATCCTCCCT